CCTACCGGTGTTGGTGCGTGCCATCAGTCCCGACTCAGCCAGCGAGTTTGTCCTCTACTGGCTCAGCGGTATCTAGATGCTTCCCCCTCTACCAGAGGCGTTAGAGACTATTGTTGGACGGGAAATGTCGTTACAAATTTGGCTCAGTGGTCTCCTTGAGACATGAGGTTCTTTTACGTGCCGTAAAGCTACGACACGGGACCCATGACTTAAAGTCCCTCCTGGAGGACTTGTTCCCTGAATTTTTCTGCCCTTAAAAATTCCACGACCTCCACCGGGTTTGAACCCATGTACCTTGAGTCATGAGGTGGGAATGTTACCCCTAGACTACTGAGGCCGCTAATTAAGTGTGTAAGAAACTGTCTTTTGAATTTGGAAGGCACATTTTTATCAGCTGGAATGAGAAGTATGCACAGTATGAGAACAGTATCCAAGTTCAGTCCATCCATTACATGAGCCTCTACAGTGTACCTTTGTAGATGTGTAATTGTCAGTCTTGTTCTATTGCAGGGTCCCCATGATGGCATAAGATTCCATAGTAGCATGATTACATCACCTACTTTCGGTTCATAAAAGGTACACAGTGCTGTTGTTGCTTAGCAATCCTGAAACAGCTGAACTTTAAATGGAAACATACCTGTGTGGCTATATGCCATTTCACTGTTCTCATCTTGCATTAACAGACTTGCTTCTAGTCACATTGGTTCACCACATATGGATGTTTCACCATGTTTCCAAGCCCACAAACGGACTTAACTTGGCTAGATTCCACAACAGTTTTATTCAGGCAGGGTCATTCTGGAAACCTCTTTCAGGATCTCAGTCAATCCTGGTCTTTATCAGTAGAGGAGGCTGCATTGTGTCCCAAAAGAGAAGTGTGTCCAAATTGTCCATTCCCTAGCTTATGGGTCAATGTAATGAGTCGGTTATAAGCTGGCTGGCTAAAACCATTTGAGTACTTTATCTGTTCAAACAGTCCATGGCCCGTAAGTTTTGAGGTTTTCACGGCGATGACTATGAAGAAAGTCGTCTTCTGGGTTTTGGCGCCGTGTATTCTTTGTTTTGGCCGACGTTCCTCCGAAACGTCGGCCAAAATGAAGAATACACGGCGCCAAAACCCAGAAGATGACTTTCTTCACAGTCCATGGTCCATTTACAAAATGGTGGGATTTTCTCTAAAATATTGCTGAGGATACACATGTTGTTTTACAGATGTGGCTGGATATGTGATTTTACAAGTCTGAAAGAATGTTTGAATGTTAGGATAATTTGAAGTGGAGGCTTGTGATGAAGAAGGAATGAATGATATGGCCATTTGGTCATGATAATTGGCTTGCTGATTAAAATGCTTTACAACAGACTAACTTGCTGAAACATTTCACAATTCATAAGAATTATTTTTTGTCCAGATTCCACTTTTCTAAAGGCAGTAGGACCTCTCTTACATTTTTTATTAGGTCGTAAACAAGGCTCCAGAAATGCTACTTTGTTTTCTGCAAATGCCACAAAACCCACTCACTGCTGTATGTAGACCAAGATAAAAATTTACTCACTGCTAGCCCTCTTACATGTGAAAATTTTGGATCTTGTAACAATTTCTTGTGTTGAGTTCTGCTTCTTTTCACCCACCATGGCAACTATGTATTAATGTCATGTAATGTGTTAATGAACAGATTATAAATAGTTCATATATGCATATATAAATGTGTGTGCATTAATGTATAGACTTCTGATTTTTTCAGGTTCCTCTCGAGTTTCAATCGTCCAAATCTGAAATATTCAGTCTTACCTAAGAAAGGCAAAAGTGTCACAAAAGAAATTATAACATTGATCAAAGCCAAGTTTCCCCGTGATTCGGGTATTGTGTATTGCTTGTCACGGAGAGAGTGTGACACAGTGGCCTCTGATCTGTCCGGTGCTGGTATCAAAGCTTTAGCATACCATGCAGGGCTCACTGATCCGCAGCGAAGTAGAGTTCAAGGAGAATGGATCTCTGACAGAATCAAGGTCAGTTTGAAGGTGAAATATCTTGATACATAACTGATTGGAAAGTATGTATATGCCTTAGTGGTTCAAGTTAATTGAATGCTAAGAAATAGCACTGTGTGAATGGTATGTAATTAATGTCCTTGTAACATTCTTTCTCCAAGGTGGTATGTGCTACAATAGCATTTGGTATGGGTATTGATAAGCCAGATGTCCGCTACGTGATCCATTACTCCCTTCCAAAGTCAATAGAAGGCTATTACCAAGAATCAGGACGAGCAGGAAGGGATGGAGATCCAGCTGAATGTATCCTGTACTATGCATACAGTGACATGCACCGTATTCGTAAAATGATAGAAAGTGAGTTCTTCACGGTTAAATTGTTGGTATCAAAGTAAATTCCCTTTTGTACCTTCAAACTCTAAATAGTATAACAACAGTTTTGCCTGTCTTGGCATCAGTCTACATTATCAGTTCATGTTTAGGTGATAGAGACAATCATGCAGCAAAACGGACTCACAGCGACAATCTTTGGCGTATGGTTGCATTCTGTGAGAACCAGACCGATTGCCGTCGAACTCAACAGCTGAATTATTTTGGGGAAAACTTTGACCGAGAATTGTGTATTGCTACTCGGGCCACTACTTGTGACAACTGTCTACAACAGGTATACAAAAAAGCCTTAAACATGACTCAGCACTGAGCTGTGAGTAGTTTACTTTTAATAAATCTAATTTTAATGTTAACTTTAGGCCTAATTGGTTTGACTTGTAAAACTGAAGGAACTCTGCGTCTTTCACAGAAATGTTCTACAGAAGGTTTAAATTAGTGACGTTACACAAATATAATGAAACCCCATTTAAGATTTCTTTTGGTTGCAGTTGATTTGAACATTAAACCAAGGAAAATCTTAATCTTAACACTAAGATTATTGACTTGGAATTGTTGAAATTTTTTATATTGAATGAAAGCAAACCTTAAGTTGAGGAATATAAAACAGGTTGTGCTATAATTGTCTGCAAAAGGAGTGCATTATGTGTGTCCTGTTACAGTGAATGAACATCAGAGCCAATGACATGTGTAAAATCACAGGAGTGCAATTAGAAAATTTATGTACTCCTGATTATAGTATAATTTACCTGAACTTATATTTCTGACCCTGATGAAATGAATCAGGGTCAGAATTGTAAGCATAAAAATGTGAAAACATTACTTGCATGCAGTATTGTAATATACATCCAGGAGATACTCCTTGGACTCCACCCACTGCATCTACAGTTGGAGACAGAGGCCAGGGCAGGAATCCACCATCTCCAGTGCAGTGATCAATGGAAACCTAGATCCAGTGGTTTTGTCCATGCATACATAACTGAGGACATGAAAAAAGAACCCATGTTACAAATGGGGTCTGACAAAATGATACTGAGACATGTATATGAAAAACCCTTCACAGTCAGATTTCCTGACAGGAGTGAATGGGAAGATGGGTTTCAGCCTGATGGAAAAGGGGGCTGAACTGGTATACAGATGGTTCCAAGTTAAATAAGGGCACTGGAGCTGGTGTGTACTGCTATGGCACAAGGCAGAAACTTAGTTTCAGCCTTGAGCAGTACATGACAGTATTCCAGGCAGAAGTGTATGCCATTATGGCATGTATTATGGAGAATTAGATAGGAACTATAGAAATAGGAACATCTACATTCTATCTGACAGCCAAGCTGCACTTAAAGCACTTGACAAACACCAGATCAGCTCAAAATTGGTCTGGGATTGCCACCAAACTCTCATGGAACTGGCCAAACATAACAGGGTACAACTGATATGGGTGCCGGACATGAGGGTATTGCTGGAAATGAAGCAGCAGACCAATTAGCTAAGAATGGAGCTGAACATCTGTTCATAGGACCTGAACCAGCCTGTGGCATCTCTATAGGAGTTGCCAGACAGGCAATCAGGGACTGGACAGACATGAAATGCAAGAAATGCTGGGGATCCTTGACTGGACTCAGGCAAGCAAAGGGACTCATAGGAGGACCCTCAACTAAAAGAGCGAAGGAACTGTTAAAGTTAAACAGGAACCAGCTACGATGGGTGGTAGGACTACTTACAGGACACTGTCACCTCAAAGGACACCTCTTGAAACTGGGACTAAGTGAGAGTCCCACTTGTGAGAGGTGTCAAGAAGAAAATGAAACAGCCACACATATCCTGTGTGAATGTGAGGCCTTAGCTTATTTAAGATTACGTCACTTGGGTCAATACTTTATGGAACCAAGTGACTATTTTGACGCTCCCACGTACAAAATCCTGTGCTTCATTTGAAGTGCAGGATTGCTGAGGGGATAATCAAAAGGGGAAGCACAATAGACCATTGTAGGTCGCAGTACAAGGGGCGAGAAGGCCTACCCCTCATACATTCATTCATTCATGTCTTAATTGTTCTAGGCACAGTATCATACCATGGATGTAACAGCTGATTGTCAAGAAATTGTGAAGTGTGTAAAACAAATCTGTGGGAAAATTGGCTCATGGAGTAATAACTTCACTCTCCTGCATATGGTTGATATATTCAAAGGCAGTGATATCAAGAAGATTAAGGAATCTGGTAAGGTGGATGTCTTAGAATTGTGTAACCATTTCTGAAATAGATTGTATATCTGTGTAAGATTTGAGGCTTTCACAGCGGTGACTATGAAGAAAGCAGTCTTCTGGGATTTGCCACCATGTATATGTGGTGTTAACCGACGTTTCGGAGGAATGTATCGCCTCCATCTTCAGGGTAGAAGAAAAATATATATATATATAAAAGCAGACTGCGTTTACCGGTTCTCACGGTCTCTTTGCTTGCAGATTCTTATATATATTTTTTTCTTCTACCCTGAAGATGGAGGCGATACGTTCCTCCGAAACGTCGGTTAACACCACATATACATGGTGCCAAATCCCAGAAGACTGCTTTCTTCAGATTGTATATCTATTTGTGTTCCCTGCATAGTTTTCAGAAACTTTACTTTTGTCTGGATAATTCATCAGATAATATGAATAATTAATCCTCTCTAGGTAGATTTTGAAGTTAGCCAGTAAAATTCAGCATTTCTGCTTGTCAGTTTTTACATTCAACATGACCAGAGTTTCAATCATATTAGTGAGCTGTGTACTGGTATGAGTATATGTATGTGTGTTGAAATAAAAAATCTGTAGTTTTCTGTTCAAAGTCTTTGATTTTCATTGCTCAGGACACAACAAACTATCACTGTATGGACGGGGTAAAACATGGGTGCGAAGTGACATAGAAAGATTACTGCGCAAGTTAACCATTGAAGAATTTCTGATGGAAGATCTCGTAGTGACCAAGGATGACATTACCTGTGCTTATATCAAAGTTGGTACAAAAGGTGAAGATTTAATCTCTGGAAGATACAAGGTACAGCTGAATGGAAAGTGGAACAAATTAAATATGTGTTCTAATGTTAATTTGTGTCCTTTATTAACATCATGTAAACTCATTATTATGCAGTTCATTCCAGAGTTTAAGAAGATGGTCAAAGAAGAGGGTTACCAACTTAAACAAATGTTTAAAGATGATGAGACCAGACCATCATCCGCCACTTGTTAGCTTCACCTTTGGCCATTGCTGAACTATATAGTACTAAATGTTAAATAAACATTATTATGGTTTATAATTGCGTGTATTTACAGTCGTGTTCATATTGTCTCAATTGTAGTGAATGTTATGGAGGTGAAGAAAGGCTGAGGAGCATAACCTACTTATATCGTCTGGTAAAAATGGATCTGTTATGTTCTTTCATATAACGTCACAGTTTACAAAAGCATACCCACAATGTTAAACAAGGGCATATTGTAGTATACAGTTATTCTTGAATGCAATAGTTGTATTTTTGAAACATAACAGTGGTATATAAAAATTATGTTAAAAACAATTGAACTAGTATAAATAAATGCTGAAGTGATATGCTGCATCTCTACAGTTGTTTGTGACCAAGTGCCATGTGCTCAATTGTGTTATATCCATATGGATCTGTGTTATAGGAATGGTATTTCCTAATATTTCCATGTCATTGTATCCAAATCATGTAAAGAAAACATGTTATAGTAGTGTGTTGCTTCAATATGAGATCCTTAAAACTTAAGATTTCCACCATACTGTGATTTAATTTTGTTTATAAACTTGACTTCTCGGAATGGTGGTACATGTTATTTCCACCATGAACAATTTTAAGATATCGCTTTACCATGTTGCAGATAATGTTTCCAATGAGAGGTTCTACATCGAAGAAACTAGACATAAACAGTACTAGGAACTCAATTTCAGCTACGGGCAGTCGTGACAATTCAGAGTTGTTAGCATTACAGGAGAAATGCTACCATGAGCTCATAGATGTATGCCGCTGTATAGCTTACTCTCTTGGAGTTAGCAGTTCTTCCATCATGAATGTTCAGGTAAAAGTCTAGTTCTCCTGTACTGTGTCCCCTCTTCCATTCTCCACGCTGTCATTGTTTTAGCATATTTTCTTCATTTTGCAAAGAAAGGGAGGTTTGTGCATGTCTGTGTGTCTACCTCCACTACCGCAGCTGCCGCCAACACCACCACCACTATGGGAATTTTTATTAAATTTGGTGTAAAAATCATGTCACTAAATGTCATCATATCTTTGTACCCCTTGATTTCATACCAGCAGTTAATACCAAATGGCAAGTGACTGGGAGAACTCTGTCACTCCTTAATGTAGGGTACTGGAATCTTCTTTAGTAGTAGATCTTAGAAAACGATGTATCCTTTTTTTGGGTGTATATTTTTTATAATATAGGACAGAAAGCCAGCCACATTATATCTGTATTTAAGTTTCAGCTAATGAATTCTTCAAGGTAATCATTGGAAATTTAGTATGAAGATAGAAGCACAAACATACCAATAAATTTTGTGTGAAACATTTTACATATATGTATGTTAAAGATTACAAACCTGACACTAAGATATGTCTGGCAAACTTAACATAGGTGGAATCTCTGCTAAAGGAAATTATGCATTGAAGTAGAGTGCTAACTTGTACAATTATTGCTTCTAATTATGTTTTGTGTATCTGTATATAGAATCACATTGCTGTTATAATAGTGATGAATGCTCTTGTTACCCAGGCACTGCGTGCTATGTCTCGGAAACTACCAGAAACAGCAGATGAGATGTTACAGATTTCACATGTTACTAAAGCAAACTTTGAAAAATATGGAGAAGGCTTGCTTAAGATCTGTCAGCAACATGCTGCTGATAAAAAAGGTGAGATGTTGGAACTTGGTAACAGTATTGCCTACCTAGTAGATCAACTCGCCAAGCAGTCAGTCAATAAGTCAAGTCACCCTTATAAAGATAACATAATTAATTCATAAGTCTGTCATGTAACCTATCCTGAATCAGTCCAATCCATTTTACATCCTCCTTAAGATATACAGGGTCAACCTAAAAGAAATAGACACTTTCAAAGTTTTACAGAAAGAAGAGTTTTAATAGCATGGCCACGATACTTACATGGTTTGAAAAGTACACCCTGAAGTTTACATGGGTAGGTTACAAGTGTTCTATATGTGACCCTTTTGCAACACGACAAATATCAATGCAATAGTCTAGTTCTTCCCAAACACTTCTCAGCATGCCCATGTCAGCAGTCACAGCAGCTACTGTGATGCATTGTTTAAGATCGTCCACACTTGTGGGGAGGGGAAGAACATAAACTGTGTCCTTTATGTTCTTGAAGTTCTAAACTTGCACATGTTGTCGACTTTTTGGGCTGCATGTGTAAGTTTCACAAACACGAATCATTTAAACTGTCTATTTCTTTTAGGCTAACCCTGTATTTTAATGTTATCTTCACATCACTGCTTTCCATATGGTTTCTCTACTAAAATTCTATATAAATTTGTTATTCCCTTGATTAATATTAAAGACATAAATTTACATCACTATGTAAAAAAAATCCCTGAACAGGTTATGGAGGCCCATAGTGTTGTGAAACATTGTGGCTCCCACATTATCTAGACATTTGGCTCACAGATGGTGGTGAGGTTGTCAATCTTATGTGCTGGCTGACCGTTACCCCCAGAAAGATTCCTGGTACTCATTTGTGGTAGAGGTTGAGTCGACTCTAGGGCTGTAACATGGCTGGAAGGACTAGGTGGATTGAAAAATCCATTGACCTCACTGGGAATTGAATCCACTACCTTCCAGCTTGTAGCATGGTGTCTCAACCAACTATGCTACTGTGTGCCCCCCACTATGAATGTAGATTTGTATTTATGTTCATTAAAAGAATTTGTAATATAAAGCAGTTGGGAACAGTACCACAACCAGTAGATGTAACATGTGAACATTACATAAATTATTATGATACAGTGATTGGGTTCCCATTGTATTGGATTACTGACTGATGAGTTGTAGAAATTCTGATAATAACATCCTAAGATCTGTGAATCAGAATGTGTCTTAGTGTCGGATTTGAACCATGGCAGTGCTACCAAATAGGAGGAAATGTGTTAGTGATAATGAAAAATACACGAACGTCCATAACTTGAGCAGTATTTTAATTTATAGCTGTGCAACTGGGAATCACAGGTACCATGGTTATCACACTGCATCTCATGAGCCATGTTTATTGTAATTAGAAAGCTAGATCCTATTAATGATACAGTGATGATAAAGTGTGAAAATCACATAAGCAGACCCAGATGACCAACAGGATAGTGTAATAATTGGTGACATTATTGTAACGTTTATATGGACTAGTGTAGGTTTTTGTTACCATGAATACAATTGTTTTAATAAAAGGTATGTTGTAAAGGATAAATTAAATGTTTACAATATATGGAGATAGTTATATTTTATATAAAATTGTGCTCTGTTTTGTTGTATATAATTAAGAAATGGTTACTGAGCAGTCACATTGAAATCTTTATTGGCATGGAGCAGATTGTTCTAATATCATTACTTAAGGTTCAGTATGCATACTTATATATTGGATAATGTTTATCAGAAGGAGTAAGAGCCCTATACAGATATATATTGTGATTCACTGATGCATGGCTTTCATTATTATATAAAGTTTCATGAGATACACATTTTACTGGTTATGAGATTAGTTGACTGAAAATAGGCACTTTCCACAGTCTAGGAACCATGCTAAGGGGGGAAGAATACTAATCAAGTGAAGAGACAGTGTGGATCATGTGGACAAAATCTTATTTTGCTGTTACCGTTACTGATCAGTTTACCTGTATTTTGTTAATAGGGCTTTGTGTGCATGCATGAGAGACCCATAGACATAATATTTGATCTCGTCTATTGAAAATACATATACAAACTTAATCAAAATCTGTCTAGGTGTGCTATATTCATTTCCCATAAAATAAAATATTTTTACTATCATTCTGCTACTTCTCACAACCTTGACAGTAGCTCGTATCACCCGAATGGGCAGACATCTTGTAACTGTCAGTATGTAATTAAGATTTGTGGATTCTAAATTCCATGTTTATTAGGATAAAATTTTTTGTACACTAGGTTTGTTCCAATTTAAAGACAATAATGACTGTTTAACTATGCCCTGTTAAATATGTATAATTCATAGTGAGGATTTGCTTACATTTTGCTATTCATTAGCTCTCCTCATAGAGGCTGAGGCTAAGAAGAATGAAGCTCTAGAACAGACAGAATGGTTATCAACAAACAGTGGTGGCTCACCATATTTCAGTAATGATGACCAGCAAACACAAAGGAAACGCAAGCCTCCATATCGTGGAAATTGGTCAAAAAAGTTCAAGCGTGGAAATGGGTAAATATAAAAAATAATACATAGTACAGTAAGAAAGATGACTAGTTCCATCACAGAATACAGATTTAATTTTGTTATAAGCATATTGCGGTTGAGTGATGAGCTGTAGATCTTATGCTAGATTCTTTGCTTTGATGCTGTCTTTCCTAACTGAGGTGTTTCATTGTTTTCTTTGGTCCCTTCTTGCAAGTGTGTTGAATACGATGTGCCTCCTTCCACGTCCTTAAGTCATTCACCATCACACTCTTATTGAACACTATATAACATAAACAGTTTATAAAGCACCATCAGATATATGTACAGGTATGTGAACAATTCTTTCGTCATGATCTGTATTTCCCAGTTGTCTCTTCGTTATGGATGTGCTGGTGAAACATCTTCGCTGTACTATGTGTTTTCCTTTATATAACATCTAGCATGTGTTACAAACAATATTTATTTCAGATCTGAGAAATGTATTACTAAACTAAACTAAACAAACTCCATGGAGATCAGCCCATTTTGAGAAGTTGCCAGTTCTGCAGGTACTCAAGAATTTCCCAGCATTTTATGAAATCTGAAAGTTCATTACTGTGTTCACAAGAGCCCTCCACTGGTCCTTATCCTGAGTTAGATCAAATCAGTCCATACCACCCCATCGTATATCTCCATAATCCATTTTAATATTATCCACCCACATACATCTTGGTCTTCCTAGTGGTCTCTTTCCGTCTGGATTTCTCACTGAAATATCTTATATATGTATTACTAAACAAAAGATAAAAACAAGAAGATAGTTCTTGTGTAACTAATTTGCCTACAAGCGTGAAAGTAATATATTTTACTTGTTATTTCAGGACAAAGGGCAAAACAGCATGCAAAGGTAAAACTGGTGGAGAAAATAAAAGTGCAGTTCCAGGACTGTTGACTGTACAAAGCAAAAAGCCAACAATAAGCAACAAAATACAACTCTAGTTATGGCTGTAGAAATAAGTATAAAATAATGATCAGTGACCTTTCAAATAAGCATAACTGTTGGTAAAGTTTCATTTGTGTACTTCTGTTGCAGCTGTTAAGTTTGCAACAGTTGCACTAGTGTGCACTGAAGTGAACTGAGTGCAAATGCAAGTATCTTAGGAGACTGAGTGTACTTATAAAGAGCTTGCTCCCCCCCCCCTTCCCAATGGTTTTGTTGATATAAAAATTATAATTTTATTGTAATCCATAGTGTCATAAAATGCAGGCTAATTTTAAACAGATGCTGAAACATCTTGGGCCTTTAAATAAAATGTCTGATATGAATTCTGGGAAGAGATTACAGAAAAGCACCTGCAGTACGTATATAAATGCCAGAATTTCAAATCGTTCAAGCACAGCATAGCTTTAGATTTGATTTGTAAAAGTTAGTCTCAGGTATTACTCTTAATATGAAACATTTGAAGGTATATCATCAAAGTTGATACCTTAACATTCAAATTCAGCCCAACAAAATGGTGTACAAAACCACTATTAGTGTCACATTGTGAACCTGGTTTCTGGAGTGACACACATGCACTTGCATTCTTATTTTGAAAGTAATATATAATTTCTGTTTTAAAATACCATATAAACAGGGGGGGGGGTTATCAGTCAACCCTAACACTGCAGCCTCTCGTGATCTATTGTGCATCCCTATCAACTCCTCTGTGACCTTTAGTCCATGAGCGAACTATACTGACCGCGCGACTACTGCTTGTTGGCGAAGCTAGTGCCAACTTTTGCAGATAGAGGGTGTCACATGGTCAGCGCAACATTCCTACAGCTGTTAATCTCGGTTTTCTAGACCGGAATCCCTATCAACTACCACATCAGTAACCATGCACCTTGAATAGATCTTGATAGTTTGCTGATAGAGACCTAATGATAGTAAAGCCAGTTCACTGAAATTTTGACACGTGCTGCAAGAGGAATTATAAAGTATTTCCATTTTGTACAGATATCATTGAAGTGACAGGGCCTTTTAATATTCCTGTCACAGATTTTAATTGGTTTCAAACAATCCTATTAATTCCACAGCTTTGTATGCCCCTGTTCATATGTGGATTTCAGATAGCAGGTTTCATATACTCCAGTGTCTTAGAGCCCTCCTAACAGCTCCATGAGAGATTTCTGCCAGGTTAAATTCTGTGGATGGGTTTTTCAGTAAGTTGGGAAGTTCATTGCTTGCTATCCCCTTTGACCTTACACCCAAGTCACCTGTACTCTGTTATGGTCTGAGAGTGTCACAAGTGACTGCGGGCAGTCTCAGACTAAACTGGAGTTAATCTGGAGGGAGTCGAGTGCTCTTGGTACAGGTTGTCTGTACTATTAGTAAATTACAACACATATATTCAAGTTTCATGATTTTGAGATGAAAACTGTCCAATGCTGCATTCTCTAGAAGTCTATGATTTTACAGATTTATATTATCAAAATATGTCAATATATAGACGCGGTGTCAGAAGTTGAGAAATAAACTGATACTTGCCTCTCTGCCATGTTTTTCCATAATTGTATAATTTATAATGTCAGTACATATATACATAATAATGTTAGAGAATGTCCATCATGTATCATACAAATAAATGTGTATTTATATAAACTCAAGAAATAAAGTGTGTAAACTTTGTACGCTTTGCTTCCTAATTTGTTTTTCCCAAGAAATGTAATTCAGACTTATAGTTATAAATAATTTACAACACATCTAACTAACATTAATTGCGAACATGTATTAATCAGGTTTGAGGCTTTCACGGCCTTGACTATGAAGAAAGCAGTCTTCTGGGATTTGGCACTGTGTATATGTGGTGTTAACCAATGTTTCAGAGGAACGTATCACCTCCATCTTCAGGGTAGATGGAAAAATATTACATATCTGCAAGCGAAGAGACCGTGAGAACTGGTAAAAGCAGACTGGTGTTGGAAATATACACAGCTATGTGAGAGCAGTGAAGGAAAGGGGGAAGGCCAAGTCTACAAGTGAAATCAGTAGTGTTGGGGGGGGGGGCGAAAGGAGCTGGGACAAGGAGGGTTTTGTGTTAGGGGAGAGAAAGGCAAGGTTAAAAGCTGGGAAGGGGGGCGGTTGTTATGTTAGTCGGTCATGGCCTGTGTAGCCTTCTGGATCTGGTGTCATATCCCGGGATATGACGCTGTTACTTGACATCGATTTTTTGCTTCACAAGTTGAGCACAGCTGGTTTTCTAATGTGTAAATTATCCTATATATTAAATATAAATAGTCTTAAAGCTGTATATTATGCATATTATCATTAATTGGTGAAATTTGGAATAATATATTGGGGAAATACAACAGACAGTCATAAGGTCTTTGTTATACAAAAGAAAACAATAAGAATAATGATGGAAGTGGGCCCAACTCATACATGTAGAGATCTATTTAAAAAGCTTGACATACTGCCAATGCCATGTGTATGTTTCCTCATTGATGATATTTGTGAATAATTTGGATAACTTTCAGACCAATAACTCTGTATATGTGATTGGTGCCAGAAGGAATGACCACCTTCATATACCTTCAACACATTTATCATCCTATCAGAGAAGGGTGTATTATTCAGGTGTCAAGCTATTTAATACTCTGCTGTCAAATATCACAGTTTTAAAAAATGATAAAAAGAAATTTAGGTTTGTTTTACAAAGTTATGCATTTTACTCTATCAATGAATTTGTTGAGCATGTAAGTGGCTCAAAGGTTAAGAGTTAATAAATTGTCTATGTGCGTGAATTATACATTATTGAGACTTGCTTGTTGTAAGTGTAGTGGTATGTATGATGTCTGTTTCTTTATGAATTTTAATATTTTATAATGTAACTGTTTGGATGATATGGCGTGTGTGGAATGGCAAGGTGTGAACTTGATTGTGGTTTTTCCATGACCTATGTGTGTTCTCCTGACAACTTGAGCTATTCTGTCTCAGGCTTGATTTTATATTTTATTGGACCAAGGACGAATGATGTGTAGTCATCATGAATTAGTAATATGTGACCTGTTTTATATCCAGCCCTACGGGGAGATGATTGGATCCATGAAATGATAAATAAATGTAAATATAAAAGTGACAAAAAACGTAACACCATTTTGCATTGAAAGTCTGAGGAAAAATGTTCATAAACTTGCAGTAGTACCTGTACTTAGCAACTTTTTCTAAAAAATAAGACTGGATCAATGCTGCATATTCCCAACCAAAGTAATGCAGTATATGAAAATAATTTAATAATCCTGTAAACTCACTACACCTATTTATTCTATTTTGGATAAAATAAAAACTTATCCAGCCCTCTGTAGCAGTCTTATAAACATCTCATTCTATCATGGCGGTCACCCAAGATTTTTTAACACACGTATATCTTAACTCTGAGAGTATACTCTTTATATTTTGTACTTAAGAGCCCTGTAAATGACTTTAGGTTATTATTTTTTTTTACTCTGCTCAAACAAAATGTCCATCATTCTTGCCCTTCGGTCCTCGTACAGTTTACAATCCCAGAAAATAAGTTCTTCCATTTGCACCCCGTCACCACATTCACATTGAGCTGTGGACACAATGTTAAATCTACTGAAAATGCTTAAGATTGCATTAAGACTGAAATGGCCTTTTCTCTTACGCTTTATTGACACAAAAGCATGATTGGAATGATCAGTAACGATTTTAATCAATGATAGATACCCACTGCAATCTAGTGAGAATAGTATTAATGCAGTATTTTTTATTGCTAGTGGTGTGGGACTAAGTCCCTTGTCCTGCGGCCACTTCTGGCCTACTGTACCAGCCCCAGATGATAGGTGAAGGTGATTGTGGAGCAATTGGTGGAATGAAGATTGGCAGGGGAAACCGAAGTACTCGGAGAAAACCTGCCCCAGCGCCACTTTGTCCACCACAAATCCCACTTGACCGGACCCGGGATCGAACCCAGGCCGCCGCGGTGGGAAGCCAGCGACTAACCGCGTGAACTATGGCGCGGCCATTAACACAGTATGTTTGAATCGTTTGAATTGTCCGCCTTTCCAATGATGTAACAATGACGTCACTACTGGGGATGACGCAAACTGGTTCGTACCCTGGCACAAAAGAGCGGTCAGAGCGGTCGGAGCGTTCGGATCAGTGAGAGCGGTAAGGGGTTTCAGATCTTGTCAGAGACATTTGAATCACGTTTGAATGGTTTGAATTGAGCAATGTGAACAGAAACAAGTGGTAGCAAGTGTTAGAGAAGTTGTGCACGGTGCGTTGAAGGTTATGTCACAATCTTTCGTATCATAGGCACTGAAGGTAATTAATTACAGTAACTTTTTATTCATGCATTAATGTAGCTGTGTTTGTAATCATACAATGACGAGGTAATGATTCGATGTCGTTCTTGTGTATGTTTGGTGTATATACAGAACCAAATTCGCTCGATTGATTGCCTAGAATGTGGTGGTGTTAATTTTTGGAGGATTGCTGTCGTGACAGTCATGCGTAAAATTGCGCCAGTTTATTATTATGTACGTAAAAAACACTCCTGTAACCAAATGAATAATGTCATTGCACTTCCCAAGGGCTCTAGTGGTGAGGTGGGACTGAGGTTCTTCGGAATAGCGCATAATGCAAAGGGCCAAATAGAAATGGTGTGCCTCAGTTGTGTAGAATATTACCAGATTTCCATTGCTGTGAGGTTCTTTTAACAGCTGAAATGGGTAAAACTTTGCTTACATCATATTGTAATATGCATGTGTTGCAGAATCAGCAATCACTTTGCTTTTTTGTGTGTGTGTGTGTGTGTGTGTGCTAAACATTTTTTTTTTGTGTGTTTTATTATTGCAAATTTACAATCTACTCCATAGTAACAAAGCTAAACATATGGCATTGTTTTCTTAAGTGGTAGGTAGACTTGTCAGCATACTGCCATGGGAAGATGTTAAGAGAGTTAAGAGCATTTTAAATTTGGTCACTTCCTGCAACCTTTAAATTCAGAGTTTTTATCTTTGTCTCATATTTAAAACCATAAAATGAAGGCATACTAAAGCTGTAATTTGGTATGTTGTTTTTTTGTGGTTGTGAAATTTAGTTTCTTGCCCAAGGGGAGAAGGTAGATTGAGGGTATTTAAGTGTAGGCTGCTGAGAAGAGCATTTGAATAGATGAGATTGGAAGTAACTGGAGAATGGGGAAGAGTGCATAGTGGTGGGGTTTGTACTCTGTGCTTGTAACCAAATGTTTTCAGGATAATCAAATAAAAGATAGATGAATAGACATGTATCATGCATGGGTGAAATAAGAAATGTCTAGAACTTTTTAATCGTAAAACCATTTGTGAGACCTAGGTGTAGTCTGGACATAAAGGTAAATTTACCCCTGTGCTTAATTAATTAAGAACAGATCCATGAAGACAAATTTATTCCTGACCTCAGCACTAAATGCAGGTGAGTTCTTGGTGTATATGGGAGGGTAATATTAAAATTTGTATCAGAGAGACTGTGTGAAGGTGTAGACTGGACTGAACTGGTTTGGGATAGTATCCAGTGAAGGGCTAATGTGAACAGTGTAATGAACCTACAGGTTACATAAAAGGTGAGGAATTTCTTGCTCAGCTGAACAACTGTCAGCTTTCCTGTATAGTATATTACCATGTAACATCACTGTACAAATGGATACATGGCCTGTAACTACAATAAACATATTCTAAGCTGTAAACTGTGGAAACCATTACAAATGCTGTCACTGTACCCTTCTCCTAACAACTTAGCATGGCTTTTTTAACTTATTTTAATGGTGTGCAGTGGCCAAGGTGACCATTAGAAAGATGGAGTAACTATTCTACTACTCTAGAAATGTTATTTCTCATGTACAAGATTTGATTTTTCATGATTAATGACACTGAGTAGGCATTATTTTTCCAAAGATGTGTATTATAAAACTTTTATCTTCAGAATGACCCCAGTGATTAAAATCACATAAATTTAAATCCTGCAAATAAAAGTTCTTAACAGCATCCTACCATAACAAGCATTTTTGTTTGCTATTGTCTGTTAATAACATGTTTATCAGAGTTGTCTTTCAACAGCTATCTTATAGTATAAGGATAGTGACATATAAAAGGGATTTTGATTCATATTAGCCCATTCACATTTTCTTTCCACCATTCCAACACATCTCCCTCCAGGACCTGATTTTGAAATATGTTTCCACATTCGGGTTTACTGATAATAACTCACTTCTCCACTGCTCTGTGACACTGAAAGTGGAGTGTGCTAATTTTTCAGGAGGTTGAGAAACCAGTCCACCAAAATGTTGCATCATTACTCATAAATGGAGACATACATATCAGTAAACCAAAGTGAAAGCACATAGAAACCTGTCATATATTCACTGGTTTCATCAATTATTGTTTTGTAGGTAAATGCTACATCTTGCACATCCTATCTGTATTAAGAATGAGTCCTTTTGCTGGGGAAACAATTTATTCATATTTTATACAGAAGTACTGTGGTACTTCACATGGGCCACAGACACATCGATCATCGTTGTAGGCTCGAAAGCCTTACTGTCTTTTGACTGAATAGCCAGTCACTTACATAATGTATGCCATCAAGCAGAAAACATAAGTACATATACATTTTTAATATGTAATGCTGCTTATATTTCATAACAGTACCAAGTCCATAGCTTTCTGTAATTTTTATGTTCATTTACTTGGAATTTTTTATTGTTATCCTCTTGATGATGTGATTTTAATCAGTAAAATCCATCAGAATCAAGCGATATATGGGATAATAACCAGAACATTGAAAATACAGGAAAAGAATGAGAAGTTGCAATTGCATAAGGTATTGAAGTTCACACAAGTTAAGCTTATATTAAAAAGATGGCCGTTCCATAGCTCAAGCGGTTATTTGCTGGCTTCCCACCACAGTGGCCCGAGTTCGATCCCGGGTCTGGTCAAGTGGGATTTGTGATGGACAAAGTGGCGCTGGGGCAGGTTTTCTCCGAGTACTTTGGTTTCCCCTGCCAATCTTCATTCCACCAATTGCTCCACAATCACCTTCACCTATCATCTGGGGTGGTACAATAGGCCAGAAGTGGCCGCAGTGCAAGGGACTTAGTCCCACCCCACTAGAATTAAAAAAAAATATATTAAAAAGAACAAAAATATTGATAAAATTTAAACACAAGAATTAAAATTTTAAGAAATTTGAAGAGCCAAATTGGATCAGACAAAAGTGACCTTGAATGTACACAAAGAACTAAGTGAATGTTTATTGGATAATGTAACAATAAACTAGAGGAGAATGGCTAACGTTCCTTAACAGAATGGATAATAATGTTCTTCCTGAATTTTTCTTTACTACAAATGAAAGGGGCACAAAGAAAAAGCAAGACCATTCAGTAGACAGTTGTGAAGCTGGAACATGCTTTAGCCTAATCTGTAACAAATAAGAGAAGATGAGAGGGAGGAGGATGAGGAAGAGGAATAAGAGAGAAAAATTCAGCTTGAAGAAGTTTTAAATAATTTCACAAGTTTATTTCAGCGAGTAAAAACTTTCATAGATCGACTTGCACATAGTAAAATCATCATAAGATATCTGTAGTTGAATCATCAACAAACAAAATAACTAACAATCTAATCATAATTTTCTAGTTCACCCATTTCACATCATTTTCATCTAATGTAAACATTTTCTCTCTCTCTCTCTCGGTAAGTACACATGGATATTTACTTGTATATTCCTTACACACCTTTGTTGGCTACATTCTTGAAAAATGGATAATAACTTTTCTCCTTTGCCTTTCCTATTCCACAGTACCTCCCTTAGAATTCTCCGAGAACTTTGATGTTTTATTTATTTATATTTTTTTCTAGAAAAGCAAAATTAACGGCCTTGGGGATACGTTGCACTGACCACGTGACACCCTCTATCTGCAAAAGTTGGTAGTGAAGTTGCCGACAAGCGGCGGTCACTCGGTCAGTATAGTTTGCTTACAGACTAAAATTGCTCGGTCAGTATAGTTGGCTTGCAGACTAAAATCACTGAGTTTTTTTTTTATTGACTGATTTCTTGAAACTACTACCTTCTGTAATTAGTGATTTCAGCCAGGCAGACTTTACTCTGGACTGATGTATTGGTAATTAAAAATTGGCTCTGAGCAGAGGTTCAACTTGACTTCAAATTGACATTATTTGAACAAGAGAAAGGTGTAAAATCAGAACTGTTTTGATAAACGCATAATGGAGTAACTTTAATTGTAGGTTACTGATTCAACGTTATATATGAAGTATGAAGTTCTTAGAAATTCTTGAAGTGATGTTGAAAACTAGGTCCTTCGGATGTTTCTGTGTTCAATCCCAGACAGGCTTTGTCCACAATTTGAGTCATGAGAGGTGGTCCACAGCTAAAGACTCCAATTTTGCGTACCTTTGAAAGAGATCCATATATTTGAATTTAAGAACATGCTCATCCAAATATGATTATGATTGTAGATCACGTATTAAAGAGATAGACCATACCATCCCTTGCACTGTTACTGACTGACTGACTGTGATCTGTTTAAGATTATGATATGTCATTATGTCCTGCTGACTAATTATATGTTTTCAGAAACTTTTGTAATAAATGGCTACTACTTATTGGAAAAACCAGTTTCACAAATCTTAAAATTAACGTATTGGCATTTTTTGGTGGCTGTAGAATCCGGGACAACAACAGCTAGTAAGTTATCAGCCATAGAGCATCACTGGCAATGATAGCTCTTCTACTGGTCAAAAGAATAGGAAAATATACGGGTGTTTTTACCAGGCAAAATCAAATTATATAGCACATGGTTTAGATATGAGATATTCTCGTGTGGTCTGGATTACCTCAGTGTCAGTTACAACATTCAATAAAGGGAATTAATTGGTCAGGTGGGTATACTGCGAAATATAAAAACATTTGGGAGTTTTTATTTAACAGTGTGCAGCAATACTGACATACCCTCCAGACTTGGAAAGCTTCAGAAGTACTTGGTATATTTATGAAACAAGTAATACACAAATTAATTTGTATTTAAAAAAATTAAGTGCCTGTATTATGATAACACCTGTCTCAACAAAGTCATATCCTTAGATGTTACAAAAAATACCAGTGATGTCTGGTGAAATAAGTTACTGGAATTCATAAAACAGATTCTTTCTGGTTTTATTTTGATGCTATTTTCAGAGATTTTATTGTGTCCATGTTGAAATTTAAAATATCATCCCATCTGTGGATGAAACTTGGATATTCCATTCGTCATATTACCCACATTACCATTGTGCTATGTAGAGTGACTTTGGCTGTATTTCTCTCTTATGCTCTGAGGTAGAAAGCATTTGTAACTCGCAGACACTGTGTCTACAACTAACATAGTTCTCTACTGGTTTGGAATATGGTGGAATTAGTCATCATGGAAACTGTCTTGTTGCAATATTGATAAGTGAATGGATTTGGGTCAACTGTTTTCATGTAGGTCCCTCACCAGTGAGAGTCAGAGGGCATTACTCTGTGAAATTTTTCTGGTAACCTAATAGGATGTCATTTGGATTAAAATTCATAAATCTTGGTTCATATCCTGTAGAGATGTATGTTTTAGATTGGTTGTATAATCTTTAAAAATACATACTTATTAATTGAATATTTCACGAATGGTGCATGTGGCTAATTATTTTGTAGGCCTGCGTACCTCTGTATGTATTGCTTGAACTGACTTGAAAAATTGTGTGAAGTTAGGTCTTCCAAAATGAGTGACTGCTTTCAATCCAGTAAAGAGAGATCGATCACAAACCCGTTGAAAATGGCGCTCACAGATGTACTGCAAGAGATAATACATATGAAGTATATTATAATTCAAAATTATAGACTGTCAGCTATATTCATCTGTTAAAATTTTTGTGCCCATGCGCCCACAGTCACACACACAAAATACACAACACCAAAACACAACACACTCACTCACTCACTCGATTTCCTTCCATCCTATCTGGTTGTGTTTGCTAGGAGGGGACCATATGTGGTTTAGTATATAGAGCGGTTGGTTTGATATTTACAGGCTTTATCTCTGCGTGGTGCCAGCCAATAAATAATGTAAAATGTGTGTGCAACACTAACTTTCATATATCAGTTAAGAGGTTAAAGTACTTTCATGTGTAGTATCAAAATTGAACGGTATTGAAGGAAAGAAATGGTGTCAGGTTGAGACTCTTGACAGGTTTGCAATGCTAGCAAACATGACATGAAACAGCGATTAAATAAAGAGCAGAATAAACTCGGGCTCTCTGGTTTAGTTCAATATTTTTCTTTTGTGCCATTTTACTGAGAAACATAATATTAAAGCCAATTCTGAAAATGACTCCTCTGAGAGAAGGAAAATATTGAAGGTGTCTAGTTGGTTGAAGGGTTATATTACAAGCTGGAAGGTCATGGGTTCAAGTCCTGATGAGATAATTGGATTATTTTCAGTTGACCTAATCCTTCCAGCTGCACTATGGCCCTGGGGTCGACTCAGCCTCTAACAGAAATGAGTATCAGGAATTAGTTAAATAATTTTCCTGAGGAGTAAAGCGCAGCCGGCGCATAAGGCTGACAAACTTACTGCCATCTTTGAGCCAACTGTCTAGATAAAGTGGGGCCCTTAATGTCTCACAACCCTATTGGCCTTCATGGCCTGGTACAGGGATAGCTTTACTTTACTTTTTCTTACTTACTGAAGAAAAGTGCTGAGTACAATATGGACCTAAGATGTATTAACTAATATGAATGGAGAAAATTACATGAAGAGTTTAATCTTATTACGAGGGTCCATACATTTAGAGGCTTTATATAAGCCGAATAAAAGGGGAATGAAGAAATATGCAATGCTTTTGTTGAAAACTAAAAATGGAAAGTATGTATGACAACAAAGGATGAAGTGCAGAATAATGCCTTAATTGTCATTAACTTAGTGTTTTAACCATGAATGTATGGACTGGGTTCCATTACTTTGCAGAATAAACTATAATTGTTTTGTGATCTTTAACTGACTGAACATGGTAATGAAGGTGAAATGCTTTTCTTGGCAGTAGGAGGCAAATTGTTAAATTGAGCTCTGTCCTAGTGTTGTACTCCTGTTCTTTGTAGTTCCTAGCTAGGACATAGGTATGAGTCATTTTCATCACTGTTGTCACTTGAACGTGTTGGCAGCTTTGGAGTTGATTTACTTCCCACATGAATGAAAACATTACATATTTAGCTGTAGTATGAGGGGCAGTCAAATGAAAATGGGTCAGAAGCCAAAACATATTAAAGAACATTTCTTACCTCAAAGTAATCTCCAAAACTGTGAATACATTTATCCCACTGGGAGATAAGAAGGTCAATCCCTTCCTTGAAAAAACTTGTGGGCTGTCTGCAGAACCACATCTTTATCCAGCCAGACACTTTTTCGTCCGATGCAAACCGATGTCCACGAATGTCTCTCTTCAGGTCTCCAAAAATGTGAAAATCATATGGGGAGAGATCTGGGCTGTAGGGGGGATGTTGATGCACTTCCCAACCAAATCTCTGTAGCATATTCCTCACAGAGTTGGCATTGTGGGGGCGTGCATTATCGTGAAGAAGGATAATGCTGTTCGATAGCATTCCAGGGCATTCTGACTTTATGGCACGTCTCAGTTTCTGCAAAGTGTCTTCATAGCACTGTGCACTGATTGTGGCCCCATGATCAAGAAATTCGACAAGCAGAGGGCCCTTGAAGTCGAAGAAGATCATCATCATCACTTTACGGAACTTGTGTGTATGGCTTTGGATTTCTTCAGTGGGGGAGAATTCACGTATTTCCACTGTTGGCTCTGCCATTTGTTCTCGGGTTCAAAATGGTGGCACCAAGTTTCGTCCCCAGTGGGAGTACGGGACAGAAAAGCATGCTCTTTGTTATGGTATCGATTCAAGTGACCCAGTGGTGCATCCATTCTCTGAGTCTTCTGTTCCTTCGTGAGTTCATGTGGATCCCACTGCGCACAGATTTTGCGGTACAGCAGGTGTTTTGTCACAATGGCGTGTATGGAACCATGACTTATTCCCATCAAAAGACTAATTTCTTCCAGAGTGATCCGGATATGACCATCTAACGCTGCAATAACGTAAGGAATAATGACACGATGAGCCTGTCCTGGGCGAGCATCATCTTGCAGTCACACATGTCCCTTTCAGAATCTCTTATGCTATGCCAGCACACGTGAACATGACATGGTGTGTTTGCCATAAACAACAGACATGTGATGATGAATTTCTTGTCCTACTCCTTCAGCAGGAAAAAAGCGCACTAAACTTCGCTGTTCTTTACCCACCTCCACTACTAATGTTTCTACAACCACATGTAGCGCTAACCTTACATCCAGCACAATAAACAAATGATTAGTGTGCCAAGGGCACGTCATTGTGCTTTCCCGAGTCCCCACCAGATGTTCGTACTGTAAGCAAATTCCAGTGTTACCAACTTGCGCGCCGTGTGTGTTATGCATGGTGACCCGTTTTCATTTGACTACCCCTTGTTGTTTCATAAATAAGAGAAAGCCGCATAATGAGGAGCTTCATAACTTGTACTCTTCTCTAAGTATAATTAGAATGATCAAGTCAAGGAGGATGAGGTGGGCAGGACATGTAGCACAGATGGGGGAGATGAGGAATGCATATAGGATATTGGTGGGAAAGCCAAAAGGAAAGAGACCACTGGGAAAACCAAGGCATAGGTGGGCAGACAATATTAAAATGGATCTTAGAGAGACAGGATGGGATGTTATGGATTGGATTGATCTGGCTCAGGATAGGGACCAGTGGAGGGCTCTTGTGAACACGGTAATGAACCTTCAGGTTCCATAAAATGCTGTGAAATTCTTGAGTAGCTGCAAATTTGGCTTCTCCTCAAGAAGGGCTCAGCTCCATAAGTAAGTAAGTAAGTAAGTTAGTAAGTTAAACTAGTCCATTAAGTGTAGTTTAATGGAAGAAAAAAGATTAATTAATTGATTAATAATGGCTAATAAATTGAGGAAATGCCCATTTGGAGGTCTGAGAAAGAGTGAAAAGAATTATGGTGAGATGGGATGAAGGTAGACTTTGAGAATGCAGTGTGGGCGGAAGTAATTCAGGATTATGTCCAATGGTGGGTTTTGGTATTGGCAATATCAGACCTTGAGATATTGTTACAGTAATGTTATTAAAATAGTTACCAGTAGAATGGTTCTGAGATCAAACTTCTGATAGAATTGAGTGATGAATATATGAATGGAAACAGTTCTTCCTTTGTCCACATTCTCCAGGTATCGAATTATATCCACCAGCCACTCGAACTGCTTCTGTGTCTTTGTTACCCATAGAAAATATACCTGTTAAATTATGATGAAGAAGGCCATGAGTAATATATATTCTTCCAGTTTATAAATTACTTTATTGTATGATTTTCATGTGATAAAGAAGCCGACATACCTTCTTGCAGGCAGTATTATGTTGCATGTTAGATCTGAAGACAATATCCTTAAGAATTGAAGCAAAGGGAGTGACTCCAATTCCACCACCAACCAATACAGCTACATCAAATTTATACCAGTCTTGATGCCCTTCACCATAAGGACCATCAAGACGAATCTGAAGAGGAAGGTGTACAGTGTGATTTAATATCTATGAAAGATATTGTCCAAGGGACTTAATTTCAATTTCAACTCAGAAGTCCTCTGAAAAAATACTGGAAGTGAGATCCTGATTGTTTTATTGTATGGAGTAATGTAGGAATAATCTACAAATGTAAAATTGACTTGATCAATACATTTTGTATGAAAATTTCACCATATTTCAGTGTTCTTTTATGTGATTCTCAGTCTTTACATTGGTGGTTAGTCATCCTCATAGGTTGTATGGAAAGAAGCTGAGAGTATAAAAGATTCAAAACAAAATGTCAGTAACATACTGTAAACTGAAGAAAGCAGTCTTCTGGGATTTGGCACCGTGTATATGTGGTGTTAACCGACGTTTCGGAGGAACGTATCGCCGTTCTCACCGGTTCTCACGGTCTCTTCGCTTGCAGATTTCATATTTTTTCTTCTAGCCTGAAGATGGAGGCGATACGTTCCTCCGAAACGTCGGTTAACACCACATATACACGGTGCCAAATCCCAGAAGACTGCTTTCTTCATAGTCACCGCCGTGAAAGCCTCAAATCTTACATACTGTAAACGATTTTTCATTTTACCATACTGTAAACTGCATGTAATTAAAGATTCACAAGATAAAACTTGCTGACATGAAGTTCACCAGAGGCATCATTAGTATTTTCATTGAATCCTTAAATTTGTAAATGTTTTTTCATTACCAAGTTCCTCATGGATACATAGTGTCATGTAATTGGGTGACTATAGACATGATTTAGATTGGTAATCAGACTTGTTAAACTTTTAAAAAACTAATGACTATACATTACAAATCACTGTCACACACAGACAAGTGTTCTAAGTCATGCTCTACACTGTGCTGCTTGGTAGCGGCTTCTAACAGCGGATGTTCCCCTTCCTATGGGTTTTCAAACAGTCCCAAGCCTCAGCTACAATCTTCACATTGCAACTCTCAACTGACTGACTGCCTGCAGACGCTTGCTTGACTGGCTCTTGACTCAGACTCTGCAGCTGGTCCTCATGTATCCTAGGCATGGACCACACAGAGAACACAGCTTCCAACAGCTTCTACACTGTTGCACGGACACGTTGCATAGCAGTGGCTCTTGTATTATTATGTGCTTACAAAGCTGTTTCATAGCAATGGGTGTGTTTGCCAAGCCATTCCCTAGTAACGGTTGTCTCTACTGGCTTTGCAATTCTGGATTTCAGTAGACATGCCACAGTATGAAATTCCCCTCTCTGTGCTAATATATGTAGTGTGCTATATAGTATGTTACTAGTTTCCTCATTGGCTCATATCAGGTTCTCCTGTCTGTGCTAATTTAGTGTTGTCTGTACTGTATGTAGTGACGCACTGTCTTACCTTAGGAAGTGGGTTTTCGCCTAGCAGATTTGGATCATAGATTCTGCGAATATTTGTTGTCCATGGTCCAACACCTCGAATGTGTATTGTGAGATTCTTCTCATGGGGTGCCGAGGATAGGGTGAAGGGATGATATTCGCTTGTGCTTAGATCAGGGCAAGCCACACGCACCCATTGTCCAGACTTATATTCAAAGTCGTTTGGTTTCTTGATCTCCAAAAATGTTACATCTAGGTGAATATAAAGTTATAAGTTTTGTTGGTTAGACATACACATATAAAGGCCTGAGGATGGTAAGGATGTGCATTTTAGCCTGGAGAGTAGCTATCCTGACTGAAATTTCTCGTGGTTTTCATCAGCCTCTACAGGAATATTGTGGAATAATGTTTTAAATTAGGCCATTGTTGCTTCATTCGTTATCCTTGCCAGTTATTCTTTATGTGTTATTAATACCATCATTTGACACTGTATATTCTGACCTACTGTCAACATCATTAAGTGAACCATAAATAAATAATTACCCCTTTAAAGGCTGAATTTCTTCTAAATCATATATATCTGGGAATAACCAATTGCCTCCTTTTCTTTGATATGGCATGGACTGCATAGAAAATGAAACAGTTATGGGAGATATACAGACAACAAGGTGATCTCATAAGCCTCCCTTTATTTTTTCAAAATAAAGGAAGTAGGCTAAGAATTCAGTTTGTACCTCACAGGAAACATATAAGTATTGTCTGTGCTACAAGTATCAACCAATTAATCTTGTTTAGGGACACAGTCACAGTTTACTGTGAGATTCATAGAAGACACAGATACACTTCATGGGCGGAATGCAGAGGGCTTTAAGCTGTTAAACAATGTGTGAATTGCATTAGAAAGATAGAAAGGAGGCCCCTGTCATATTGATAGGAATAGACTTTCCCGTATATATCTTACTGAGATTTCATAGAGTTGATATCTTGTTCTGGTAAATACTGCTTTTTTCTTTTGTACCTAATTTATGTATTTTTATGTGCACAGATCATTTAATAACTAAAAAAATTGGCTGCAGGGTAACTTAATGTATATCTCATGCAGTTATCTATAGATATAATTTAGCTGTTGCATCTATGCCTTAGTGAATGTGTATGCTCAGTTGTTGTTAGGTTATTGATAATATAGCTCCACCATGCTCTGTCATGCATTTACCAGATTATTTTTACTTCAGAAGGTATGAGTAAATCTGAATTATGTAGAAGAATGCTATTAAAGTTTCATAATAGCTACATGATTAATGAATGAGTGAGTGAGTGGTTGTAAAGACATGCCAGCACTCATGGCTCCAGAGTAGAGGTATTGTTAAGTGAATGGATGGTTTTGGTACTGGAGCAATCTGATATGAACACATTAAATTGCCACCTTGTGCACTTGAAGAAAATACTGTTAAGGGCAGTTTATAAGAACAGAGCAGTTGGGGTCCTAAATGCATTATATGCTGCTATTTGTTGAAAGTAGAATTAAAAAAAATAAATTGATGAAGATGGATTGACTGTGGATATCTTGGACAGCTATGCTGATAATTGTAAACACATTCTCTGCAAATATATCCTAGATTTGCCCTTAATTAAATCCTTGCACTACATGAAAGGAAATTTTAAAATCTGAATTGAAAACACATTTGCCACAGTTGCTCGGCAGATGAACATTTCTGTCTTGAAACTGTAGCATTGTTGGAGTACTAAAAAAAATGCCTTTTGAAATACATACTTGTATGTTCCACTTGCATGCAGTGAACAGAGTTATGACAAAGTTTTTTTTCTCTGTGTTGTTAACAATTGAAGGACTGAGTTGTTATTACTGAAGTATGAGTACATCATGATAGGAGAAGAAAGCACAAGACAGCTCAGTGACAGGCCTGGCTAACATTGAAAAATAAGTCATGGTGAGCATTTCAGACTTTAAAACAAATCATACTTTTCAAAATCCTTTATCCAGTGCAAGTTTTACTGTTCATTAAAATTAGACACTTCATTATTATTGTGAAACAAGAAGTTTTATGAACATCTAAAAATTTAGCAGTATCACAGAAGTTTTTTCGTTTATACTCACCGGATGGTAGAAGTTCAGCCTTCAGAACAGGAATCTCAACTTTCTTTCGTCTGACTGAAATCAGCCGGTCAACAGTAAATAATACACATGGCCCCAGAAAGAAATAGTAGAAATATGGCGGCTGAAACAGGAGGCATTAGAGGCTTATGCTAGCGGAAAAAGGTATCACTGATGTAATGAAAAATAGAAAAATAATGTTTGTAAAAAATGTGATCCTGTACAACTTTGGCTTATATTAGAATATTATCTGCTTATTTGTATATATGTGTCCATCCCATTGAATATGAACCTGATAACTTGAAAATTAGGAGAACATTATCTGACAGTTCATTATCATCATCATCAGTAATCTGTCAGACGGCAGGTCCACAGTCTCTTCCAGAACAGTTCCTCCACTTATTGCGATCTAGAGCTTTCTCCTTCAAATGACAGTAACCTCTTCTGTCCCCAAGGTCATCCAGCATCTTCTTACGTCTTCTTCATCGTCTT